CCGACAAGATTATTGTCTATGTGATGAGGTTGCATATGTTAGTCAATGTTAATCAACATATTTGGTCATCCATGATGTTCTGAAAGTCTCTCAGTGGGCCCAGCCTGGCAGGTGGGAAATTAAATAAAGAGAAAACATTTTGCTTAGAGCTTCAGGTGATTAAAATTTAATGAGATTAAGTAGGATGAACATATAAGAAAAAGGAAAAGAAGAAATATCTAAAAGATTAACAACTGCATACCACGTATACATTTGTGAGTACATGTGTGTGCAGACGTGTTTAACTTCGATAAAATAAAAACTTCCATTACCTGGAAGACCATCCAACCCATCCGAACTGTTAGGAGCCATCTCTTACTCTCTTCACACCACGTCAGGCCAGAGCAAGGGACGTAGACCTCTCACCTCTTATAACCCTTCTCAAATTCCTGCCAAATGAGTATTATTGCTATTTACCAATTAGGAATCTGAAGCTCTGAGGGGTTATATAACTTCCACCAAATCACACAGCTGGTAAATGGTACAAATATCAGCAAGAAAGACCTCTGAACTGTCATAACCAATATCACAAAATCAATGAGAAGTGTGGGGATGTTTACTCACAGTAGCCTCCCCCCATGTTCACCTTTGGAGACGAACTTCCAACCAACTTGACAGTTGATCCAGAGACAGATGGGTGACAAGCAGAAAGAACTGTGGGGTGATGGGGGGATGATGTGGGGAAAAGGCAAAAAAAAAACCTGTGTACAAAGAATACTGTGTTCAGGCAAGAACATCAAAACCCGGGTAGAGGTAAGGCCATCGAGCATCAGAAAACAGCCCCAATCTCTACAGCTGTTCCTTTAGGAAAACACAACTGTCAAGAAAAAGGTGAAAAAGATCAGCATATTCTGTTTAAGAATTTACTTTATAAAAATGCCTGTTAAAGTGGGTATTATTCTTTCCTAAGTTTAAATTACAGGTAACTTTTGCTTCTGGAGATGATCCGTCAGCTCCAACAGCTTGTAACACTGAATTGCAGGAACACTGAGAGAACGAGGGTGGAAGCCTTAGATAAGGGAGGGGTGACGTTGGAGGAATCCGCTTAGTCAAGGGAGATTTCTTGTAGGGAGGAGTGGAAAGGAGAAGGCCTGCACCTTTGGCCTGCCAGGTGTAATGCTGTGTTTCTCACTCCAAGGGAGAACGACGGAGTCCCCAGCACCTCTTCAGACCTCGCCACACCCTCGATGGAGCCAAGATGAGGGCCTCCGTCCGCATGACCCGGTACCTGGAGTCCTGGGGGGCGGCCAAGCCGTTTGCACACCTGCATCACAGAGACAGCATGACCACGGAGAATGGCAAGATCAGCACCACGGTACCACCCACCCCCAACCCCATGCTCCAAAGCCCCTAGTGGTGGACAGAAGCTAGGTCCCCAAAACAAAAGGCTGGCCATCTGCCAAACTGACTTTGTTGGTAATGAAGCAAACTTACCTCTCCTTCTCCCTGGAGCGGCCCCTTCCAAACAGCTGTCATGGCTTGGTATGAATGAGTGCCAAGCCCTCATTGCTGAGGGTTTTAACCCAGAGTGATTTTGCATTATAACTTTATAACCCACGACCATTTTATTTACTTGTTATTCAGTTGGTAGCAACTGAATACAACTATACAACTGAACTTTTTTGGGTTTTATTGCTATCACGAAGTAGAAAGCCTGAGCATCTTTAATATCTTAATAAAAGAACAAATGAAGGCGTGATGCCCTTGCAGTTTGAGTAGCATCGTCAAGAGTATCTTCATTGCCCAAAAGTTCAGGCTGTGTCTGCAGCAATGAATTGTCTATTGTTGTAACTCCTTATTTACATCACTCCAACTTCCAACAGATAATAAAGTCCCAAAGCTCCTTACAGCAGGGACACTTTCAATAAGCTGAATGGCTGAAATGCAGATAGAAAATAGAAAGATCTGTGGGAGGAGGGGGAAATAAATACAGCAAAGCACTTAGAATAATCCCAATAGTGTTGTTAGATTTTAAAACGATCTCTGTGTTAAATTTCATGTATAATGGCATTAACTGTCTTAGGGATGCAGTTGAGGTAAAAAAACAAAATGGAATGTAATGAAATTCTCATACGCTGATGAAAAGAAACATCAGGTTGTCAGGTAAAAGTACACTTTTCCATTCTCCCTGTGCCCCGTACCTCCTAGCATCTCACAATGACACAGCAAGCCCAAGAGGTCAGCATACTTGTTTTGACTTAGTTATATCTCTTCTCTCAACTTCCCCGGTTCTTTTTTCAACTAAAAGAATAAATATGATCTGACAGAAGACCACGATCCATCAGACAGTCAGCAAGGGAGACCACCAGCACAAGTCCTAGAGGAGTTTGCATTCTATTGGGAAGAGAGAGATCATGAGTAGGAAACAAATAAACAAGATCATTTCAGGTGCTGCTGAGGGCTGCAATGAGGATAAAAGGGAGGGCTGTCTTTGGGAGTGAATGGCGTGGCTACTCTGGGTAGTACAGCTGGGGAAGTCTCAGAGCAGGGGAAGAGTAAATTGGGAGAGGAGGAGGCAGAAGAACAAATTCAGCGGCCCTAAGATGGAAATGAATTGGTGTGTTCAGGGGGCAGTGACGAGGCTGGTGTGGCTGTAGTGTCATCACCAAAAAGCAAAGGGAAGTCATTGGGTGAGATGCACTAAGGTAATTGTGTATAATTCATTCTAAGTGTAATAAGAAGTCATTAGAGGATCTTAAGCAAGGGAAGAGCCTGATATAATTAATGCTTTGGAAGAATGGAGCAAGAATGCAGGGCTCCAAGTGAGAATGGTGCCCTCTTATGCTAAGATTTTAGTAGTGGAAACAGTGACAAGCAAATTCAGGGTCTAATTTGAACTTAGGGCAAATAAGACTTGGTGATGGAGTGGAGATGCACAAAAACGAGGATCAAAGATGTCCACAATTCTTTGGCTGAACGACTGGAAGACTGATGATACCATTAACTGAGATGACAAATACTAAGAGGAAATCAGGTGATTTAAGATGGAAAAATCAAGGCTTTGCTAATGGACATCTTCAAATCAATATGCCTTTTAGGCATCTAAGTGCAGCTAGAAAGTCACCAGTCTGATATGCAAATCTAGAACTCAGGGGAGAGGTCTAAGCTGGCCATGTGAATGCACAAATTACCAGGTTTTAGATGATATTCAAAGCCATGGAACTGGATGAAGTCAGCAAGAAGAGAAGAGATCCAAGGAGAGGGGCCTGGGGCATCTGGGGCCTTCCAGCATTTAGACCTGTCGGGGGAAAAGCACCTAGGATATTATGATCCAGTTGCCAATGAAAGTTAATGCTTCTATCACACTTATGAAAAAAAAACGATAATGTGGATGATTTTGCTTCAACATTGCATTTGTTATTAGAGCTAATGGCTAATAACTATATCTGTCACTGAGAGTTATTACACACCAGCAGTTGGTTGGTTGGTTGGTTGGTTGGTTGATTTGTTGGTTTGTTCAAGAAATAAGATTCATGTATTAGAACATGCTTTTCTGTGCTGTTTCTTATGTATATCTGTGAAAATGGTCTTACTCACTTTTCCAGGTGTGTTTTATTGATGTTGTTGTGGTCGCTTATTTCTTATCAGTCTTTATTGTCCCATGACCTAAGAGTGACCGTCTTTCCTCTTATCTCAGCATGGGACTGCAGGAAAGATTTCAGCCTGACTTGACTCTGTTGTTATGTGTTAGTGAAGATTCCTCTCTCAAGAGAGAGTTGCAGCTGTCTAGTGCTTGGAGCTTCAGGACGGTGTTTATAAAATCAGAGGACCTCTTGAACAAGCTTAGTTTCCTTAATCGGCTAGTCTCAGCAGTCACAGGTGCAGAGCCCAGGGACTGCCTCAGCAGCAGTGGAGGAAATCTTAAGAAAATCCCCAGGCTTTGGTTAGCACATGAAGCCCATATGACTGTTACTTAGCTGTGTCCCTTTCTCACTTGCAGAAAGATCCCATCATCATTCGTGTGAATACATTCCAGTGTCAAACAATTGTCATTGCCAAAAGTTATTTCGTGTCTCTAATCCCCTATGCAGAACTCCATTGACTTGATTCAGCATTGATAGAGCTGGTGAATAATGCGTTATTTTACTTTATATAATAAAACTTGGAGTTTAATTATTATTTTTTTAATTTCTTATCTTTCTGTAGGCTAAATACTTTTCCTAATCTAACCTTGGAGATAAAGCAGCAAAGAAAAGCTTTTTTGGAGCCACTTTGTTCCAACTTTTGTTTTAATTTCCCCTACACATGTGTAAAAGTGGGTCTTGTGTTTTTTTAGGTCTATTATTGACCATTTTGCAGTGGGTCCCCCACTAAGAAACCCTGACCACTGTGTCTCCCTCATTCCTTTTTCTGGAACTACCAGCATTCCTGTGTTGATTTTTTCTTGTTGATCAATGATTCACGATTTCACATACTTATCCAATGGTACCATTTCTTAATGGCCCAGTTCAGGGAGAGGGACTGATTTTGTGGTTACGTTTGTGTTTTAAAGCATTTTTTAATGTTTGTCTGATGCCAAACTACAGTTTCACGTGATTGTAAGCTGTTTACAGTAACTCTAATAATGGTCCCCCACAGGCCATTGTTTGAAATCATACCTGCAAATATCAGGATGCAAATTTTAAAAATCCAGACAACAATTTTGATACTTCTAACATCCAGAGTTTATAGATTACACCAACATTCTAAATATAAACTGAGTTTTTAATCTTGTTTCACGTTTATAATTAAGCTCTTTTTCTCCACGTGGATAATTGTTTGTTACCTAAATGATACTTTCCATGATAAAAGAAGAAATATCTTACACATAGTTACCATGCAACATTCTTAAAGTATGTTTTTGGCAGCTAATAACCTTTTTTTTTTTTAATAGGATGTACCAATGGGTCAGCATAATTTTCAAAATCGCACCTTAAGGTATGGTATATGTTCTGCTTTCTAATTTTCAAAGGCTTATTGCTTTTTATTTCTGCAAGTAATTACCATCAATTATAATAATTTTGAAAGCCACTTCTAAAAAAGAGCAACTACTTGCGAAAAGCCCTATTAAATTGCTTTCAACTTCCAAAAATAGGATTATTGGTGGCATTGTCATTGGAGTTGAGAGGAAAAAGGAAAACACTGTCTGGTAAACACTTTAGGACTTTAAATTGCTTTCTTAAAATGCCTCTTCTTAATATTAATCTGTAGTAAAAATTCAAATTTTCTTAAAATGAGTATGTTGCTTAAAATTATATATATATATTTTTTGTGTGTGTGTGTGAGGAAGACCAGCCCTGTGCTAACATCTGCCAATCCTCCTCTTTTTGCTGAGGAAGACTGGCCCTGGGCTAACATCCGTGCCCATCGTCCTCCACTTTATATGGGACACGGCTACAGCCTGGTTTGCCAAGTGGTGCGTCGGTGCGTGCCTGGGATCCGAACCAGCGAACCCCAGGCTGCCACAGCGGAGCGTGTGCACTTACCTGCTTGTGCCACCGGGCTGGCCCCTAAAATTATATTTTTTTATGTTGAATTCTAAAGGTAAAAGCAAATAAGTCCAGCCTTTCTGTAGTGAAGAGAAGTGCTGTCCAACCTGCTCAAAAACAGAACAAAGCTTCCCACCAATACCCACAGGGGCCCTGTCGCCATCCCCCGTAGAATCATAGGCAATAATCATTTTCCTTGTCCACATTCCTCTAGCTTTTTGATTCCGAGTTCTACTTAAGTGTTGGTTTGGGATGTAAGTATTTTTTATTGAATATGTTCTGATAATTAACCAAAGGCCCAAAACCTGACTCAGCCTTTCTTTCCCCACAGAGAAGTGAGTTTATTCTTATAGAAAATGCATTGTTATTCAAGTAAAAAACACAATTAGTTAGACTGTTACCTGCCAAAACAGAGCAAATAGTGCACATTATTCCAGAATCCCTCTATATGACTTTATTTGTTGTAATGAGCTCTAATTTGTGTTTTGTGTAAAATTTGCAATTTTAACATTGTGATATGACACTTATAGTTCTATGTTATAAGGATAAGTGGGTTCTTGGGCTTTTGAAGCATTATTTTTTAAGTGGCAAATGCCATATTAAAGAGAACTTAAGCAAATTTTAGGAATATTATGGACCCCACAACATACCTCGAGAAGGCGTGGCTCTTCAAGCCATAAGATGACAACACATCGAACAGCAGCTCTGCACAGAAACTTCCTGGCCATCTTTTCACTTCATATTTGATATCTTTTCTGTCATCTGTCTGCCTCTCCCTGCAATTCTGCTCAAGAGTCTGTTTACTGAAATTACAGTGGGGATGCCTCGTGGAGCGCCACTGCTGTGTGGGCAGTGTCTTCTCACTAGATGAGTGCTGTCTGAAAGACAATGATGATAAGCTATCATTTTTATCTGTACAGGCATATGGAAAATCTAATTTCATCCTTACAGAATTACTCCATGGTAGACACTATCACCATTATCTTTTTAGAAGGGAGGAAACTGAGGCACAAGGGGTTGGGAAAATGCCCAGAGTCACGTGGCTGGCAGAGGCAAGGCCAGGATTTGTGTCCAGACTCTGTGACAACAAAGCCTGCCCTAACTGACCTCCCATCCTGCCTGCCTTACTAGGAACCTCCTCCATATCTCTTCCACTTTCCTCTGTGGTGGTAGATCTTTGGTGGCCCCAAGACCTTGTGGACAGAGCTCAACTTTCAAGCCATCCTCCCCTGGGCTTCCCTCACATGACCTGGCTCTGTAACCTGGCCTACATTATAAAACTCTCTGAGCCTCCAGCCTGGCCATGAGTAGGTGACGCACAATAGTGAAGCATCATCAGGGAAAACACAACACCTCTTCCATGTCTCCTGAGATATAATAGCCCAGGCTGGGGAAGGAGCTTGGGAGAAAGAGTGGAGAGGAAGTGCAGAGAGGGGTTGAGGGTAGAGAGCAATGGGGAGGCCAGCGGTGGGGCTCAGAGGCAGGAACAATGACAGGAAAGTCAAACCCCAAAAGTCTAAGGAGCAAAGCCCTGTTTGGAGGATTAAGAACTCCCAGTGGGTAGATTAATAGCCCGAAGGGTATCTTCTCATTTCCATAGCAGAGGTCACAAAAATACAGAGACAAGAAAACTGTCTTTATGTTAAGAATTGTCCAGGTAATTAGTGAATACAAAGGATGCATAATATTATGCATTTATCAGCTACATCATGTGCCACATTTACCGCACTGAGTGCTGTACAAACGTTATCTAAACTCATCCTAAAACAGATTCCCAAAGGCAATGCCATTTTTAGCCTTGGGCATAGATTGAAGGATTATATTTTCCTGTGAGCTCAAGGTACTTACAACTGTTCCTTCTTAGACTTGATGAGACTTTATGAAAAAGAAAGTCACCAAATTGAAGTCAGGAAACTCAAGTCTAGGCATAAGGCTGATAAAAATGAAAAGAAGGTGGCTCCTCACCTATAAATGAGAATGAATCACACTAGATGATGGCTAAGCTTCCCTGCTTCCTTTAAAAGAAGGATAAAAATTAATTTGCCATCCAATTTAGCTTGGCATTTGGTATGCTAACCCTCCTAATTCAGTTGAATGGGTGTCTGTAGGTGGATCACTTATTATTCTGTTTTTGAACCAAGACTGCCCGTGGCCTGTTTAAAGAAGGTAGGACCTGAAGACACAGACCTACAAAGGAAGATGGAATTAGAATGCTCCTGCATCTCATTAATGACAATTCTGTGAGATTTAATTACAGATAAATGTGACATTGTATATTTAATGCTATTGTTATCTATATCAAGGCAATTCTGAACTCAGAAAAGTGTTATTTTTATTCCAAAGTAGAAGGTCTATTCAATCAGTAATTTAACCAACCAGAAGACAGAGAAGCCATGTGCTCATTCCCCATTGGACTAGGTGACTTGCTGACACCTGGACTCAGGTGCAGGCCGGTTCAGGCCAGTTTGGCGATTATACTCTGCTTATACTCTTTGCAGTAGATGTTTAACTTTTAAAAACAGGTATTATTTCCATTTTCCCCTTTACATCATTTTCATGCTAATTGTCAAATTAACCTCAGGAAACTCTTATTATTATTTTGGCATAATTTATTCACAAGGCATCTTATATTATGGCTGAAGATTATTTGCTTCCAAGACCAAGTGAGTGGTCTGCAAATGTAAGTGGGGTTTTCTGTGCATAGTGCTTTCCAACACTGAAGAACGTTCAAATACATACAATTAAGCTCTGATATGCCTCAAATAAGACTGTCTTTCTGCAAATTCTTGAAAACTGACCAAGGAAAACGGGAACAAGGAATGACTGTTTTGTCAACCAAACCACATTTTTGCAGGGGAATTTCCAAAGCCAATGTGTCCTGTCATAAAATCAAGTTTATAAAGGCAACAAGTCAAGGGCTAATGCATCTCTTAGGACAGAAGGTTCTTTAATCTCCATCACCAAGTACATATCTCTCAGTGCTGCTTTTGGAAGTCTAGTGTAGTTTCACTCTAAGTGAATGGTAAGGCAACATTTCACTGCACCAAAAACTCTGGTCAATTTGCTCAATCCACAATGTGGTTGTATGGTAGTTGGCAGAAGGCTACTCATAGATTATTGTTTCCTTTTTTCTTTTTTTCCTCGATTAATAGAATTAAACAGGCATCCTAGAAAAATGGGCTTCGTATTTAGTTCAGTAATAATATTCTTACCTGTGATATTTCCTCTTTCATATAGAACCAAATCACAGAAGAAAAGGTTTGAAGAGGAACTAAATGAAAGGATGATTCAAGCCATTGATGGAATTAACGCACAAAAGTGAGTACTTTTCACCTTAAATTATCATTCATCTCTTATTTCAAATTCTATTATTTGAAAATAATGTCATATTTTCCAAAATAATTTCACCACAAACTCTGCAGCACTTATCATGACAAAGCCAAGTTTTCTGAGATAATTTATTCATTTTACCTCAATTGTCCTTAATAGTAGCTTTTGTTGAGTATTTCATCTTTTTAAAAATTTTTAATTCCTGCCTTATAAGTACTCTCCAAATAAATTATTGGTAAACAACATGAGATGTAAACAGAGAGAGAAAAATTATAGCATAATGTGTTCAGTAAGTAATACTTTTTAAAGATCAATAGAGATGCCACCTGGGAAAATCTTTGCTGTATTATGTGACACTATCCACTCCAAACGTATTTATTCTCCTGCAAAATCAGAGAACTTGGAGGTACCTCTGTTCCATATCCTGGAAGAGGGTCTTGAGCATTAGAGTCTGAATTCACAGGGGCAGTGGGAAGAAGATTGATTCTTTGGAGGGCAAAATATCATTCAGTCTATGAAGCTGAGAATTGCTGTTGTAGTTTTAAATGGTCCAAGAATGTGGGGGAAAAAAATTAAAGAAGGTGGTGGCTTTCATGGCCTGGACAGAATGATTACATTCATCAGCCTTCGAATTCTCCTTAGGGGTGTGTGTCATGGCTGAACTCATGAGGGTGCAGAAGGTAAATGACTCAATATGGTGCCTGGTACCCATTAGACACTCCATAAATGTTTGTGGAATTAAATTGTAGTGAAAACTTCAGTAGGTCCAAATGAAAAGGCTTCGTGGGAGAGTTTCCATCCTTATGGAAACCTTACTATTTATTTTTTATCATGAAAGTTGACTCGTGAAAAGTGTAAATGATTTCCACCTAGAACGCTCTGCCTCCAAAATTGTTACACAGCTTTGCAAAATGCATACCTCCTGTAGGTTGTTCCTTGTAAGTATTTATTTTAGAATATTTATAAGACTTGTAAAAGAATCACGAATGTATGTATGTATGTATGTGGTATGTGTATGTGTGGAATTGCATATGTACATAGCAAAGTATCTTGGTCGGGCTGGAGCTGCAGTTCAGATATGCTGGCATGTTGATTTAACACCTGTCTGGAGCCCCTTTGAGTGATCCAAATAGACAAAGCCTCCTACCTGTCATAGAGCGCTCTGGGCACACCACCAGTGCCTGAACAAATGCTGTGCTTTGCCTGGCACCAGGATCAGTGTCAACAGCCTCAACTCTGTTCCAACTGAAACCTCAATACAATGCAAACAGAGAAACATATGATTACCTGGATTCTACTGGCAGCTAAAACCCAGGGAAAAGTCCAATTTCATATAACATAGGTAGAAGGATATATTCATTCAACCAGAGGAAATAGCAGTTACTACTCTGTGAGCCACCAGAATAAAATACAACATCAGAAGAAATAGGAAATCTTGTTCCTTGACAAAGTTTAGCCAATTATAATAATAACAGTAATAATGAAAAACTAGGGCCGGCCCTGTGGCTTGGTGGTTAAGTGCGCGCGCTGCGATGCTGGTGGCCCGGGTTCAGATCCCGGGTGCGCATCGAGGCACCACTTCTCCGTTCATCCTGAGGCCGAGTTCCACATACAGCAACTAGAAGGATGTGCAGCTATGACATACAACTATCTACTGGGGCTTTGGGGGGAAAAAATAAAATAAATAAAATCTTTAAAAAAAAAAAAAATAATGAAAAACTAATGTAGAAAATCAGCCTCAGTGTGTCTTCACACAGGACACCCACCTTCCAAACTACTGCCTCCACCTTTAGAAAGTTTCTATTAAAGGAATTGGTTGAAAGTACAGTCATTGGCCTTGCTTTATTTTTGTCAAAGTTGCTTCTGGATTGTCTGTCTGTATTGTATCATTTAGTGTTTGAATACATGTTTAGTTATCACCTTTGTGTTTTAAGGTAGTTTTATTCTACAGTAGTATTTAATGTTGATATAACTGCTTATGTTGTAATTTTTCCAACATGTTTCAGAAATCAAATAGGGAAAAATGTCAGGTTATACTAAAAACTCAAAAGGGAGATTTTTTTTAAATGGAAGCTATTATGCGAGTATTTTTTAATTAGCTTCACTCCCCCTCTGTTATGCCCTACTCATTAACTCCCCTTGTTCTTTGATATGATCTTCTGATCTTCTTTGAATTTCCACTTGAGGATTCAACTAGGACTCCCATTCAGTTGTTTTCTGCTGTTGACATAAAACAGTGATTTATATGCAGATTTTCATGTATTCATTCATTTGCTCATTTAGCAAGCATTTGTGAAAGGCTGAGCAATGTCGGCATTTGCTGGGCATCACACATACCCAGACACGAGACCCCTCAAAGCCTGATGTCTAAGTGGGTGAGAGAGAAATCACTGTATCCTTTAGAAGTACGCTACAAAGGCAGCGGGTCAAGAGAAGGACAGCGCCGAGGAAAGGCAGGTACATTGGACTGACGAGTCACGAGTTTTCTGGATGAGGTGAAACCTAAGCTAAATCTTGGAAGAAACTAAGAAAAAGAGAAGAAAAGCCTCACAGCATGCGAACAGCACATACCGGGGTCAGAGGTGTGCTTTTCAGTTTTCAGCAGGGTCAGAACACAGGCCCTGCAGGCATCTCTCTGGGTGAAGAGGCTTGAGCAGAAGGGTCAGATTCCCTGAGAAGCAACTTGCACTTAGTGTGAAGCAGGTTACGGAGGTGGGCACCGCTGAAGGGTCCTAAGCAACGAATGTGTGATAGGATCCGCTCTGATGGTGTGTGGAGGACCACTTGAGACAGGTAGACCCTAAAATGAATCTTGCATAGCCCAAGCAGAGATGGCTGTGCCCTCCACAAGGATGAAGCTCAGGGCAGAGTTTCAGGAGATCTTGACTTAGTCTGGGTGGGTGCGGTCAGGGGAGGAAAGCAGGTATGATAGCTGGGCACCAAAGAGACTTACTAGAAACTTCTCCTCTCGGGAGCCACAGAGGGGGAAAGGGAGGCATCGTGGGTGGAGGACACCCAGGCCATCCCCTCCGCAGTGGCATTTTTCTCTTGGGGAGTTGGGCTCTCCTGTAAGATTGATTTCAATAACAAGGTTTGCTACATGGTTAACCTTCAGAATGGGATTGCCATGTCAGGTTGTCCTAAATTTGTTACAGTAAGAAAGAGGTAATGTGAAACGTTCTAAGGAGGAGAAACATGGGCCTCTTGGCTGAGGGAAATGAGCTGGTGAGTTGATGAAGAAAGTGTGATCCACGCTTCAAAATGCATGCATGGAGTGGAGTTAATGCACAAGTGGAAGACAGACAGACTGGAGGCGTCTCAGACCACAGGGCTGCAGAAAGATTGCTCTTGCACACTGAGAGACCACTGGTCCAGCATCGTTTATTTCAGCCCTGCGTCCGTGGACCACCTTTCCCAAACGCCACAGGGTCACCCAGGGCCTTAGTGCACAGTAGAGGCCACTGAAGCCTTTGGATTCAACACTGCCTAGACGGGGGTGTTAGTCAGCTCAGGCTGCCATAACAAAATACCACAGGCTGGGTGGATTAAACAAGAAAAATGTGTTTTCTTACAGTTCTGAAGCCTAGAAGTCCAAGATCAGGTTGCCAGCGTGGTCAGGTTCTGATGACAGCTCTCTCCTTGACTTGCAGACAGCTGCCTTCTTGATGTTTGTTCACACGGCTTTCCCTCGGGATTGTGCAGAGAAAGAGAGGGAGCTAGCTCTCTGGTGTCGCTTCTTATAAGGACACTAATTCTTTAGGATCAGGGCCCCACCGTTATGACTACAAAAATCTTTAATTACTTCCTTAAAGACCCCATCTCCAGATACAGCCACACTCGGGGGTTAGGCCTTCAACCTATGAATTGGGGAGACACAAACATTCAGTCCATAGCAATTGGAAAGTGATCTTCTCTCTATTTCAGTGTCCCCTTTGCTGTAAGAGCCTGTGATCTTACATTCCAGAATAATCCCGGGTGAGGATGTAGGTGTACTCAAGTCTCCCTCCTTCAGTCAGGATGTTGTTTCGAATTCCTTTCTTTGGCCTGGGCCTAGCGAAAAAAGAACTTAGTATAGATTAATAGAAAAATCACTTACTGTACAGCCCAGGGGTGGGGTTGGCTTTCTTCTTGCCATAGACCACTTAGGTCGGGAACGATTTCAGGAGACCGAGAATAAAGCACACACACATCTTCTCTTCTATTCTTTTTTCCCTTTCTCTCTCTCTGTTGTTCCAATTCCCAAAAACAATATCTGACCTTATCAGCCCACACAGATCTTTCCTATTCCAAATGCCCAAATCACGTTTATAAATCTCTGAGTTTCCTACATGTCAGTAATGGGGACTGAGGCCATCTCAGAGAATCCACAGAGATGGTGAAGTCTGTGGGAAGAATATCCTCTCCTTAATTCTGAGGACAAGCTAAGAAGAGTTTGGCGCATCAGTTATTGCTTCTAGAAGAAGCCACAGGCCAAACCTAACTTGCTGTGGGGAAAGGAAAGCAAAGGCTACAGTTTTAGGAATTCAGTCATTTCCGATTCAGTCAATGCAGTCCTCATAGCTTAGGAAGCTCAGTGTTAGGTGCTGGACACAAGAAAACGAGTGTTGGTCTTGGGCGCTTCTGGTCCTTCTGCAGGATGCAGACAGGTAACTGAAGCCCGGTCTGCGACTATGGGGGCTCTACTAATTACTGAGGAGCTCGTTTTATTTCTGCTTTATAAATCTCACTCTTATTTTATTTCCAAGCTTATATCATCCAAGAGCATTTTTGAATTAGATTTTTCTTTCTCAATATTAGAAAAAACTGTTTTTTTGTGTGTGTGTGTGAGGAGGATTGGCCCTGGGCTAACATCCGTGCTCATCCTCCTCTACTTTATAGGGGACGCTGCCACAGCATGGCCTGACATGCGGTACGTCAGTGCGCACCCGGGATCTGAACCTGCAAACCTCGGGCAGCCATAGCAGAGCGCATGCACTTAACCGCTAAGCCACCAGGCTGGCCCCTGGAAAAAACTGTTTTTAATAAGTTACCTGCATGCATCATTCATAGTTTGATATTCATAACAAGTACACAGTTCTAAAAATGAATATAATTAAAATTTATCTTAAATTCTATTTTTTGCTCCTTTTAATATACACCAACCTTTGATTCCTCCAACTAGTCTCATAAAACAGTACAATAACATATTTCTGCAGCTAGTGCAGTAACAAGAAATACCAAAAAACATTTATTTCCCTGATACCTAATGCTTGCAACTTTGAATCAAAAAGTATGTTTATAGTTCTCACTTTTAATGGCAATCATTCTAGAATACATTACAGACTTCCGTGCCTCAGTTCAGTCTTCTGGGATATTCAAGCTCATCATGGTGCCTGTGCTGTGAGTCTTCAGAACTGTCGAGAGGTTCTGGGCACAGGGCTGTCCAGGGAGACCTGCACATGTCCCTCCTCAAATGTGCTGGTCTCCTGGGTCAACTTGTCTTTACCCCTAAGGTGAAACATCAGTCAACATTTAGAAACGCTAATCTGATATCAGGAGGTGGCTACACTTGCGGGTACTGGGCAAAGTGTACAATTCACCTGGCCTTTTTTTCCTGGATCCTTAAAGGCCTTCACTCTCTATCTTTATCTCCAAAATATATCTCAGTTAGTCAAAGTTCATAGATGTAAGACCAATGGATTGGAAAAGTCCTATATTTAGAAATTCACGTGAATTGATAATTGTTTGAACAAGTATAAGATTTTGGGGAAATTTATGTAAAACATAATTTTATCTCTAAAAGCATATATATATATACCCCTCTCCCTATATATAGATACATAGGTGTAGATGTAGACATATCATTATAGACACATGTAGCTATGTACATATATATGCATATATATCACATATACATACATGTTTTATGTATCATATATACATACATTCATAATTCATGTTATTACATGTCTTAAGAAAAATTAGGAAAGTAGAAGTATAAATTCCTCAGTGTAATAACCCAAACAAGTTGGTAATATATTTTGTTGATATTTATTTCTAGATATTTCTCTTGATGCATAAATTTCAGTTTTTTCTTACATTCTTGTACTCATGAATATAAGAATGGGTACCTTTCTATTTCATTTAGCTTTATTTCATAAAATACGTGTTTATTCTATTGCCAGATGTGTGACTGTATAAGGCATATGTGCCTGGCTTGCATGATCATAAACCTGGTGTTGCTGTTTAGCTGGCGATTATATACGACATTCTAGTGAAAAGTATTGTCCTTAAGCTCTTTCTCTATCTCAGCTGCTTTCTTATAGCAAATTTCTAAAAGTCAGTCAATGTGTAAGAATGCATACTTCCATATAATTTTTATTTATTTTTCAACATCTGAGATATATATGTATCAAGATATGTGTATGTATTTATGCTCATGTGTGTTTCTGTTTGCATCAACATACTATGTTAGTGATTTGAAACTGATTGCTTCTTATATTAGTATTTTTACCCATTTTTTGAAAACTGTATTCAAACATGATTTTTTTGTTTGTAAAAATGAAAAACATGGCAATGAAAGTATTTTCAGTAGGTGTGAAAGAAGCAAAACTTCTTGCCCAGAACTTGAAGGCATTCTAAATGGTTTTGATGTCTGTGATGTGTTGATTGCTATAAGCTGAGAAAATCTCCTTCAGAAGATGAAGCTGCTATGTGATTTCAGTAAAACTTCAGGGAATGGGTTTATTGATCTACTTGAATCCTTTTGATGACTTAGCTCCCTACTTATTTAATTTGGATAACTTGAGTTTCAATTTGGTATGACAGTTAGTTTGTAATATAGAATTTTCCAAGGAGAGCAGTGTGTGAATAGGAATATTATATTTTCATATCCTATTAACAATCTCTAGATTACATATCCAGTTCTTTGGTGTTGTACATTTTTTTAAAATATTTGATTTTGGGTAATTTGCAATAAAGAAAAGAACTTGTCATTAAACAAAAGTAATTCCAGATGTTTGGTTGGAGGTTTGGTTTTATGAGGTGTCTGTCCTTTTTATTTCCAGGCAATGGCTCAAGTCTGAAGATATTCAGAGAATTTCATTGCTTTTCTACAATAAAATACTAGAAAAAGAAGTAAGCTATTTTCTTTTCAAAATCAATTGTTTTTTCTGAAATGTTAGTTTTTAAAAATTTCTTCTTGAAATTGCACTCATGTTTTTTTACATGTGGCATTTAAACTGTCTCTAACTATATCAGAACTCTTTCTAGCTTTTCTGTGGTTCTTCCATGCATATGTTGTTTTACTGTATTTCTTGTTACCAAGTTTCTGACTCTGGCTGGTCGCCATTTTCAACACTCCTGGTAGTAAGTGATCTTTGTGACATGTCTAAAGGAAAGGGACATGAGCTAATAATAATAGGCTTTCTCAATGGGAAATTTTCTTAGAGAAGGTTTTAAAAGAAAGTAAAATCATTTTTTATAAATTTACAGTGTTTTTTCACAAATTATTTTAACTTTTTGACAAAAATGTGAGATTTACATTCAACACCTGTTTGGGAGAATTAGAAACCCCAAAATTTTAAGTTTTGTTGCATCTAAATGCTTTCACATTGTGACTCCTACAGTAAGTGCTATTTCAGGCACAAATAAATAAGCAGACATTTGATTTTCATATGTCAACCTTAACATGGATTCGCTAAAATGAACTAACTAGTTATTGCAGAAACAACAACTCTTCTTCTAGGTCAACTTTATTTCATTTGCCTTTTGTGTTGATCTAGAAAAGGAACGAGTTAGATATAATTTCCATCATCCAACCATACAATTACAGTCTTAGTTTGAACAAAAGCTACTATATTATTGGCAACAGTCACAACGCTGGTATTAAAATTCTGTTGAGGAAATTCAGTTCATTGTTTTATGGATATGAATGGAAATAGTAAACATCAAAATTCCTTCTTAAATTCATCAGGGTTGGATTTTAAAGTTATACCAAAACTTCCTTTTGTCTTAGCAGTCAGGAACATCAACTGTCTGCTTCTAAGTTGACATATTGACTGCAGATGGTTTACCAAATTGACGTTTGATATAATTTATTATTATTATTGATCATTTTATCCTTGAATAACTTTAACAGATACTAATGGTTCCTATTGTTTAAATGTTAAATTATTCCCTTCCTGATAGAAGTCTATTTCCTTTATAAATACTGCAAGGAAATTCCAACTCATCTCTCTACACAAAGCCCAGAAGAAGGTGAAAGATAAAGTGTAATTGAATGCATAGAATGTAATCACATTTCTGCAATTATGCTAATATAGCTTCTTCATCAGCATGTACATTATCCTGGCCATTAAGTCACAAAATTCACCAAAAAGATATTCTAGTAAATAGGAGATATCATCATTTAAAAATGCAGCTTTTGCTGACACTCCCTGTGTGTCCGTATTTGCATAGGCCAACTTTGAGGCAAATTTTAGAGAGCTCTTCAGGCCAGCAGGAGGGGTCAAAGGCAGCAAGACATAAAGGAAGGGAAACATCAATAGACCATCCGGAGATCCATCATCCTGCACTAAAACCCAAGAAAAACATACTGGAACCTCTCATAACTCAGGAAACAGCCTGTGCAGATAGAGCTAATGCAACCTGCCACTATTGTCGGGAGGTATCAATAGCATTACCACAAAAACTTTATTTCCTTTAATTTTATTATAAAGCCTTCTTTTGAGAGGCAGTGTAGCCTCATGGTTGGGAGCCTGGGTTCGGGAGCTAGTCCGCCTGGGTGAAGATTCTGGTTTTGCCCTGCGCTATGTCTTCCTGAGAAGGTTGATCAATCATTCTGGTCCGAAGTTCCTTCATCTAACAATAGGGGCAATAATAGTTTCTGCCTCAGGCGGTGGTTGTGAGGATTAAATGAGTTAGTACATGTAAAGCGTTTAGAGTGCCTAGCACACCATCTTAACGGCCATATGCCACAGAGGTCATTATCATTATCAGTGCAGCATGGCTGGCTTTTGTCCTGCGTAACTGAAGCAGGTGCAGTCCCAGGGGGCAGCTACACTGGTCGGTGTATGGTCCTGGATGTTATGGAAAGCCATGTGATCCCTGCCGATTGTGCCAGACAAGTGGACAGAGAATCCCTCAGCCAGGCCCAGATGGCAAATGGAATGATCGCAGACCTAGAACAAAGCCTGCTGGGCTCTGTCTCGTAAATTTACTCACCATCTCTAAGTAGCATTAAGATCAATAATAAAATAAGATACCAAAACAAATAAATAAAATGAGGAAATTGCATTTCCTCAATACTATTCAAAAGTAAACTATTATTACATGAAAAGTCATGAATTTTGGACATCAGACTCACACAGGAACCAAGGCGTCTGCAGGCTTCCGTGGTCCCTGCAGTTCGCTCACTCATCTTCCTGGTCTGGTGCTCTCTCCTTACTGGAGTGATTCAATTCCCTTTAAGGAGAGATTCAGTTCCCTTTAAACGGGTTTCTGTACAGTTATGGTCTTCAGAAGTCACTCTTTCACAGCTCATTCGGAGAGAGGAAGCACTCACTGCTGGAGATGAACAGCCATTGTCTTTAGCTGGTTTTTTTCCCACAATCTACACTTTATGAGTGTGATGCATGAAGTAGGGCAGTTAGGCTGCTGGATAATTGTTTCACCCTTCTCTTAGAGAACTGTCACTCATGGTCTCCTTCTTCTCCCCTTAGTACCGAGCCACTGCACTGCCAGCGTTCAAGTACTACGTGACTTGCGCTTGTCTCATATTCTTCTGCATCTTTATTGTGCAGATTCTGGTATTACCCAAGTAAGTACATATGGTTCTCCACTGGGATTCTCACTGGGTGTACCTTTCTCCTGGAGCCCGGTTATACTAAAGGATATGAGAGGATGCAAATTCCAAACAGAAGAGTTATGTAACATGCCCCGGATTGGGGGTGGGGGGCAGTGTGAGGGGAGGTTAATTCAGGATCTGTGAAGTTGAGTGGCCTGCATGTGTCGTGTTAGTTGTAGTAATATTGCATTTTCAAAGTGGGCATATTGATTCACCCTATAGGGATTTTTTAAAAAATAAATTTAACCTTCTTACTTTGATTTCTGCATTACTCTGATGCTGAGTATAAGAAATGAAGCCCCATAAATTTTACCCAGAAAGAGCAGAATGGCCAGATGTTGTCTCTAATAAACAAATAACATTATTGTCTATTGAAAGGACAAAACCTGCTCTGTGCACACTATACCCACTCATCCCTCCTGATTTCATGTTCTTCTCCCTGACGTCCACTCTCTGCCCCCATCTCTGATTATTAGGTCACTGTCCAATTTGCCCCTCCCAGGAGACACCTGGGTACAGAAGGGAGAAACTGAGTAAGCCGGATTTCCACACTTTCGCACTTTGGGGTGGACTCCTTCTAGTTCCACCTGTTGAAAATCCAGTCACTCTGTGATTCCTGGATTGTCTTTCTCTTGTACCTTCTTAACGAGTGCAATTTAAGTCAACTGACTTTCTTTAAAGAAAGTGATTCTTATTCTACAGTCTAAAGGAAAAGAGAGAAAACAAAACTCTTGTTCTTCTTTCAATAATTGTGGATGTAGACAGAAATTTTACTATAAATTTTCTTCCTCTTATCATTATCTATTTAGTAAAGGCCAAAGTGACCATTTCCAATCTAGTAGGATTTAGTTGTGTGTTTGCATTTAACTTCAGCGGTACAGCCGGCATTGTGGGCAGCTTGAATTGCTGAGCCTGGGTTACATTTTGTCTCTTGAAGATGCTGAGCAAACTAGAAAGAAATGGTCTGCCTTTTCCTGCTCTGTACTCCAAAGGATGTTCTTCCTGAACCAATACAGAGGCATTTATAGCAGTAATAAGAAGTCAAAGTATTATTCATATATGTATGATTCCAAAGCTGCCTGCCCCCTTTAGAAGAGGTTCCCACTAGACTTCCCCTTCCTCCATAAATTTGCCTTGAAATACATGGGCCAAATGAGCTCTTCTTCTAGAATTACAGAATCTTCAGTGAAATTTGCCAATGTCAACTTATCAGTTTTCCACTCAAAAAAATGTTAGCTAATTAGGCTCCTTCTAGGTTCCAGGACTGTGCCACATGGTACAGGGGAGAAACAACTGTCTGTGCACACACAAGGCTTGTTGACTGGTGGAGCATAAGGGCGTTAAAAATTAAAATATATAGGTGAAACAAGTATTCCCAAGGGAAGTGGGCCCTTATTCTTACTCTTAAGTAGATAAATTCATTCGTTTTTCTACATCTCCCTATTGGACGAGTATTTTTATATTTTCTCCATCATAATTAAGACAAGATTTATCACCCACTGGAAGGAGCTGGGAGAGAGGAAAGTGCTAGGGCATTTTAAAAGATGATGCCAAAGAAGACAAAAAGACTTCCAGGGACCAAGAAAAACATTTCATGGGATTACACTTTTAAGAAAACATCAAGGAGATGTCTTCTCTGTCTTTGCCTTTATTTTCTTTTCTCTCTTCTGTTGTGTTGTGTCTTTATAAGGACCCTTGGAAGTTCGTTCTCTCGGGCATCATCACCAATTGTTTTTGTGTTTCTCTTGAGCAACAAGTTGGATTTGAGCATGAGCATTGTGAAATCTGTGCTGGTCACATTTCGCTCTTTCTCTTGGCAGTTAGAAAGCTCAGAGGAAGGTCTGTGGACTCCTCTAATAGAGAGAGTTGAGACCTACACTTTCTGTACTGGCTTCGTATTACCTTATATTGTATTTTATTAGTCTTGTGTTTCTTCATTTTCCTTTCATGTTAATGTCTTTATTTTTCTTTCTTTTTCTTTATAAATAATTATTGCTGTGAAATATTTCAAAGATACAGAAAAGTGCAGAGTGTAATGAAATAAACATGCATGTGGGGCCGGCCCCATGGTGTAGTGGTTAAGTGCGCTTACTCGGCTGCTGGTGGCCTGGGTTCAGATCCCAGGAGGGCACCGATGCACTGCTTGTCAGGCCATGCTGTGGCGGCGTCCCATATAAAGTGGAGGAAGATGGACACAGATGTTAGCCCAGAACCAGTCTTCCTCAGCAAAAAGAGGAAGAATAGCAACGGATGTCAGCTCAGGGCTCATCTTACTCACACACACAAAAATAAAGAAATAAAATAAACATGCATGTGCATACAATCCAGACTTTACAAATGTTAATCCTGTGTCATATTTACTTTAGATGTGTTTCCATGCTCCTAGGGCCCTTATCCTGTGGGTATGCTTCCCGTAAACAGCATCTATGTTTATTTTGTTTCTTATTTATTCAATCAGATATCTTTCTCTATATCAATGTAACTTTATTCCATTTGTATTTTGATGATTTTTTTATTGATGTATGCGGACCCACTTCTACCCTCTTATTTTATGTTTCGTTTACCTTGCTTTTCCTTGGTTCACCTCCACCCCACCCCCCCAACTTCTAAAGGATCGATCACATTTTCTTTTTTTTCCTTTGCTAGTTAGGATATATATGTAGATAGATCTCTCTCTATATATATCTCTTCTAGATATTTTTCTTTTAGTGATTGCCATTAAAAGTTTAACATATAGTCTTAATTTAATAAATTCTAAAGTTAATCATTGTGTCTCTTCCATGTAATTATTTCTTAGGCTTTTAGTTCCTGATGATAATTATAGTCAATATTTATTTAGATTTACCATTGTTCTTTACCAATTTATTTGCTCATCAATGCTTTTTAAAAATTATTCCTTTCTTCAAGTTTATTTTCCTTCTTGTTGATATATATATATCAACAAGATATTTTCTTCATATTAAAATATCTTTATCTGCTTTATTTCATATTTGCTCTTGAGTAATAGTTTAACTCAGCATAAAATTCTAGGTTCACTCTTATTTTCCCTTAGTATTATGATGATATTATTACATGAATTTCAGCTTCTATTGTTGCTAATGAAATGTCTTGTCAATGCCATTACATTCCTTTTTGGGTAATCTGGCTTTCCTCTCTGCGTGCTTTTTTTTTTTCTTCTGGATTTTCACTATATTGTTTCTAGATGTATATTTGTTCTTATTTACCTGACTGGCTAGGTGTGATTTTTCAATTTGAAAATTCATATTTTTGCTCAGTTCCTGGCAATTCTCTGACTTTATCACCTTATGTATTGTCTCTTCTATGTTTTTTCTTTCCTTCTGGAACTCTTATTAATTGTATGTTGTGCTGTTCAGTCTGTGTTCCAGGTCTTGTAATTTTTCCTTGAATTTCACACCTCTTTTATTTCTTTGTGCTACACTCATTGTGGTGAATTCTTCATCCTCACTTGAGTTATTAGTGTCAATGATTACTTTTTCATATCTAAGAAGTCTATTTGGTTCCTTCGAAAATCTGAATTTTTTTATCAGTCTATATTTTGCGTATGGATTCCATTATTTTCTTTTTCTTTATTAGCAGGTCTTAAACATGTTGTATGAAAATATCACTTATTTCATTCTGTTATTTATGGTGCATAAATACATGAATTCTGCCATTTAGACTATCCATTGACTCTCTCCTAGTGGTGTGCCTCCTTGTGTTATCTGTGATTTTAACTGTGAGTTCATCAACAGCACGGGTTTTGGTCCATGGTAATCTCATATATTCTGAGATGTGAAGGCATCACTATGATATAATTTTCAATATTTCTCTGACAGGTGCCTCTGGGGTTCACCAGTTCAAGTCACAATATTTTCTTAAATCCTTAGGTCAAGGTTCCTTCACTAAATAGGTCATGTGAACTTGATTAACTCCTTAGCATGGAGCAGGAGTGGAGATCTCAGTTTTCAAAGATGACTCTGTTACCACTCACGGCCCTAACCTGACAATTAGCTTCCCTGAAAATTACCAGGCTGGTGGCCATAGATTAAATGTTTCCTATTTCCTAGTAGGAGAGTATCTTATGGCTTCTGACTCTATTCAAAAGCTCAGTTCCAATTTCCCATTAATCAAGTGCCTGAGAGCATCACCTACTTTGTGTAGACATTAAATCTCACACTCTATGGCATGTGTCAGCCCCTAGTTCCTCCTGGGCCATTTTGCATAAATGTCTCTCAGCATTCTGCTTTTGAATAGCCTCTGTGTATCAAGTCTTTTCTCTTCCTTGCTTATGAGCTCATCTGTTTAAATAAGCCAAGGAGAGAAAGACAAACACTGCATGATTTCACTCATATGTGGAATATAAACCAACACACAGACAGAGAGAACTGTATGGTGGTTACCAGGGGCAAGGAGGTTGAGGGGTGGGCACAAAGGGTGAAGGGAGGCATTTATATGGTGACTGACAAACAATAATGTACAACAATTTCACAATATTATAAACTGTTAAGACATCAATAAAAAAATAATAATTTTGTTATGTTTTATAAAGCATTTTCATTGGGATAATGGCACTTCTGACTTTTTCTGATATACCTTCACTTGTTTTTTAATATGCTGAATTATGGTTTTCTGTTGTTTTTTTGATAAACTGCCTCATGTTTTTTTGAAAAAGGAGAAAAATGATTAAATGAGTGAATGAATGAATGAGTAACTTAATAGAGGAATTCATGACCTTGAAAGGATCAGTAAGGGGAAGTGTTTACCTGAAAGAGGGCTTTACATCATCTCTATTTGGCCCATAACTTTTGAATCTGGCTCTAATCTCAGAATTTGAATAGCTGTAATTAAATTACTAATTGGCTCCTCTTTTTGGAGGTGTTCTCTCACTTCTGTCTGCCTTAAACTATAATTTTATCAGAAATGTCAGCTACCTTCAAAGACCAAAAATGATCAAGCAAGAATTATTTTTGTAT